TATATATATATATATATATATATATATATATGTTTGTACACACATATATACATGCGCAGGGCTATCATTGGGAGGCGGCACGTCGATGGCACAAAAATATCAGGGACCCAAATTTTTCTTTTAAAATACAATAGTAGTTTAAAAGAATTTAATCAAAAAATTGTAGCATGTAATAAGAGGCAAAAAGAATTTAGTAGATAATAAAGGTCTAAAAATTATCAATTAATTACATTGGAGAAGAAAATAAAAAAAAATTGGTCATTCATTATAGGTTATTGTTTATGTCTCTCTAATTTTTTTTATCTCCAACAAGGTACAATGATATTGGCTATTGTTATCTCTATATGTTTGATTGTTTTTGTGCTTCAACAATTTAACGTTAAGATCACGTGCTTGCTATTACTATATATTTTTGTTAGATATTTTATCAATTTCTGCTTCTATTGACTATTGTTATTTGGTTATCTTATTCTAATTGTTTTTGTTGATTATTGTTATCTATTTTTAATACTACATAAAATATTTTACTATTATTTGACAATAAATCTATTGTTCTTATAATTTATGACATGTTTCATGGTTTTCTGATTAATCAAAAAAAATCTAGTAGATCTATTTAGTAATGTCTTTTATATATATCATATTCCATAAACTTTTAATCTTAGCATCTTTTTTTAGTTGTGCAAAAAAAGAAGGAAAATAGAATTTAAATATTTTTATCAATTGTTTGACTTATGTATCTTTCATTGGGATTACACCATACCATAAGATTTTATTTAAGTACTCAAACAATCATTTGTTGAGTTTGCATATTATATATTTAATTCATCATTTATTCTTATTGGATCTCAATGGATCATCTTTTCTTTCATATTTTTATTGATCCTCATTTGTCTACTTATCTAGAAAACTTTGATAATCTTCTTTATTATTGATCTCTCATTGACCCTCACGATTACTTCATTCACACGAATTCTCTTTTCGTATGAAAATAACACATATTTCTTGTTATGAACTAAAAAAATTCTTATTTTTTATAAAAATTTATCAACCATAGTTTCTATACTTTTGGTTTCAAATTACCTAATAAGAATTTATATCTATAATAAAGATAAATAAGATTTATTTCCTTAGTAAACTATTAGCATTTATTATACTCACTTTTATACTAAAGTACAATATTCATTAAAAAAAATTCGTACTTACCGAGGGTCACTACAAGAAAAGTGAGCTTTGATGATGCGCCTTTTAGCAATGACATGTTTCCGCCATAAGTTATAGCAATGACATGTTGTTATATACTATTTTCCGATGATAAATGGACTTTTAGCGACGACAAAAATTATTGCTAAAAGTCTTGTTTCTTCCGGTGGGCCTTGTTTTTACGTTCGCACAGAGCCAATAAAATGTCAGGAACATGTCTGTACATGCATAAGAACACAGATTTGTACTTGCATAAAACACATGAACCCATATACGTGTCATTGCATATATATATATATATATATATATATATATATGTGTGTGTGTGATTGATGACAGTTTCAAATGAGCAACTAAACATTTTGCAAGAATGCAATAAGTTTCAATATCATATATGATTACATGCATGATACACAAGCATTGATAATAAAACGTAAATGCTTAATCATATATGAGTAAACACATCCAAAGAAGTGTAATCATATATGATATTGAAACTTCTCGTCTTCTTGCAAAATGTTTAACTTCTCTCATTATCTTTTCCTTTATAAATATATATAGTAATTATGTATCTATAGCATGTAAAAATATAAGAGATTGTAACCGAAAAATAGCCAAATACAACCCCTCATTGCTACTATGACGATGGTATGTGTGGGGCCACGAACTTAGTTACAGGGTTATGTATGTTAGGTTGCGGTATCATGGTCCAATCTTGGTACCATTGGGATGGCTTTTGTTGAGATAGTTTGAATGGTCCCGAAAACCCTACATAAATCATCATAATAGATGTACTATATCAAAAAAATTGATTTTTTCTTAAATTGGGTCGACTAATGGTTTGTTCAACCCGAATCAAGAGGTTGGCCAGGGACGATTAATTAAGTTTCACTGTAGATACTTAACTTTCTATTCTTTTATTTATAGTAAAAGAGTAAATGAGTTCAAAGAGATATTTATGTTTACTCCCCAAAAAACAGTATTTAATACAATTCAGTCACTAGCTTTTGGATTTGACATAGAGATGCATAAGAACCAGTATTCATAGGACTAATCCAAACGGTGCAAAAAATCTTGGTTCTTTCCATGAAGTATCCTTCTCTTCCCTCGACTTAAGTTCTTAAAAGCAACTAAAACTCAATTGTGTACCAAATAAGTCGAAGTAAGCATATAAGAAAGGGAGTTTAGAATATAGATCATGCATGAAGAACCCAAATTCGAATTTTCCAACTCGAAAGCAAAGATGCAATGGAAAAATGTTTCTCGATAGCGAACATTAAATGACTTGTCCAAGTTTGCAATGAGTGCCTCTATGGAATTGAATTATGAGAGAACTTTGAACCTTTAGATTATAATATTTCGCCATCTGTCTATTACATAACTTGCACGTGTATTTATTTGCAAAAAGAGACTGACACCAGTTCATCAAGCAATGACTTGCTAAGAATTACGATTACCGCAAAAAGGTGTTTGTTAGTTTGGCACAAAGAGAATTAAAGTTTTGAAATATTAAATGAAAAAGCTAAGAATTTGGTTAATTAAATATGACTAATTAGGTTAATATGGAATATTATGAAGAGAATAAAGGCCTCAACACTCGCAAATGAGGATCAATCCTTTGTAAACATATCCAATATCAAACCAATTTCATAATCCCATTAATTGGAATGTCTAAACATCATAATGAAGCATAAGCATACCAAAAGGTGGGTTTAAAATCTCATAATGCTTTACATGGTGTTAATGAATGTTCATACTTTATATACGTACATACACATATGATATATAAAGATTCTTTCACATACACATATATATACATATACAAACAAACATATATATATATATATAGAGAGAGAGAGAGAGAGAGAGAATATATGCGCCCATGAATATGTCACGAAAAAGTATAGAACCAGAAAAGGGTTTGGTCGATCAAGAACCGGATTACTTGAGAATCGTGTAAGAGATCACATTCCAAATTGATATTTCGACCCTATGTCTAGGTTACACGAAATTCAATATGGAATAAGACTCAATAGAGCACTTTCGTTTTTAGGCACCAAAACGAGAGCAAACTAGCTGGAGCTATATAGGATTTTTCAAAAAACTCGTCCCTAATCATGGCTCATAAAAATTAACCGAAAAGATAATCATGGCTCAATTTTAAGAGTAATCGACAGTTATAAAACTGCACATTAAAAATAATAGACAGTTACAAAAACCGCTCATTAATGGTAGTGGACTGTTATAAAACTGTTCTAACTGTTCCAGACATGAAACCAGAGAAAGACCAACCAGAGCCCATCTGGTTCTTAAAGACCAGATGTCCTCTCGTCTTACCTATTAGAGCCTCTGGTCTTAACAACTAGAGGCAAGTCTTAGCAATCATAAGCAGGAACCAAAACCCCTCTGGTGTTACCAACCAGAGGCAAGTCTTAGTAATCATAAGTAAGGAACCAGAACCTCTGGTCTTACCAACCAGAGACAAGGAACCAGAGCCTCTGGTCTTACCAGCCAGAGCCTCTGTCTTGTGCATACAAAGAGTGTCAATGTACACCAGATTGTTTGAAAAGGACCAAAGTGTCCAAACATAATATGATATGCATAGCAGTAAAATTGTGTTATGGAGTGAAAAGGAGAGTTGAGGTAAAAGGCATTGAAAAAAAAAAGTTAATGCAAAACCCAATTCAAAGTCCCAAAACATTTGTTGAATCTAGTGTAGCAATGAAAATATAGGCTAGCTTATGGTTTGATAATATTAAAGACTTAAGTTTGGGGAAGATAGGTTTATGAAAGGATATGGATATCAAGCATCAAGCAGGAGTAGAGCACTTCATTCAAAAATTTCAAAAACAGGCACACTTTGGTTATTGAATGTTCATGTTCTAGAGGCTCAATTAAAAACAAAGATGGGTAAGTTTTGGATTATTGTGGCTATAGCATAAAGTCAAGCATTTGTAAAACAACTTCATGATTTATTCTATTTTTGTGCATAGATGGCTAAAGAAGTGCATGCTACCAGAATCAGTTCCCAAAATGCTAGATTGAAACAGAAAGGAAAGATGATTAGTCACAAGTATGACTTGATCATTTTAAAACTAAAATGACT